GCATTTCAGTGAAACTGATTCAAAGCAACAGAGTCTCCTTCCATCACTTCTTCTGAGAGCTGGGCATCTGAATCCGACGCAGGCTGGGTACAAAGGGGTACCTGGAGCTGGGGAGGGAGCGAATCCATGGGACAGCGATGCCCTTTCACAGCCAACCYCATGCCACCCTGCGCCCTGCGTAGGGGAGGTATGCCTACTGAAGGGTCCCCAGTATTGGCTCATCTTAGGATCAGAAGCTGATGGTAGTAAATAGTTTCTACGGATTTCCGATTATTGAGGGGAAAAAAAATGTCCTCACAGATATAAAAGGTTTGGAGCARGGAAACAGAAATTCCCTAGAGAGAGGAAATTCCTCGCTTGGATCTCTGGTAAAGTAAGAGCACGCCTAGTTTTAAACAAACGAAAGTAAATTTCGTAACTGAGAAAATAAATGTTCAAGGAAATAAAAATCCCTCGTAGGTAAAATGAAGTGGGGATAACTGGATTTGTGACTTTTCGAGGAAGGGGCACCGGGACATGTCGCTTGCTCACCAGCAGGGGGCACGTTTTCTTTAAGATTGGGTCAGGGAATTTCTTGTGAAAACCTCGCAACCAGACTTGCTCAGAGTCCCCTGCCGGAAATCGCTCCGCAGATAATAACCCTCCAGTGTCTGGAAATGTTTAATTACCGCGAACGTGCTTTCCTTCAGCGCGGACCGCCGCAGACAGAGCCCATCCAGGACGCAGCGCTGCCGGGGAAGGTGATTCTAGGTGCAGTTTCACTCCAACTACGAACAATTCCGTTCAAATAACTTTCCTTCATCATCCTCAGTTTATTAGACGCTGGGTCGTTTCTGATGCACTTACTTCCACCTTGGATAAAGAAAAAGTTCAGTGACCYTAGAACACATCTGTTACATGTAAAAAAAAATAATTTTGACAACTCAAATTTTCACCAAAATAATAATAATAATAAAAAAATTTACCTTGCCTTTTGCACATATTTTACGTGTGAGCCTCACGAGTCATTATCCTTACATTTTATGGTAATGGTAAATGCAATTCCATACAAACACTCATGTTTTCTGCGTATTCCCATAAAGGAAAGGTAGATAAGCGCGTGTGTGCATTATTTCATTTATTCAGGTGGCAAATAATGACAAACTACGTATGTGCTCATAAAGAACTTACGAAACGGGAACTGCCCAGAAAAAAAAAAAATGCAGTTCACTTTCCCTTTCAGTTTTGATACTGTAACTTGTATGTCCATGTCACAACAATAAACACCCGCTTTTGCGTTCATCTAGCGTCTCTCCGACTCAGGACCCTGCACTGGGTGTGCATTCTCAGAGGTATTACAGCCACAAATGTTCCTAGAAGTCAGGTTGTTACCTACCTCCAGAACGTAAAAACTTTCCCCTCCCCAAGCTGGATTTTGACCTGATTGACCGTAATGGTTCCAGAGGAACTATTGAGCCATTACAATCCATCATCTAAATGAATACAGAGGGACACCTAAATCTCCCGATTATTTGAAAGCTCTGTACACGGGAAAGGGGGGAGCGGTGGTGGTTAATCAGTAGACACCCAAATGTCCACGGAGTAGTTACAGGAAAACTTGCTTTGGAAGCAAAAAAGMTGCAAGTGTTAAGTAAATTCCACTTAAAAGAATGAGGTCATGTTCGTGTGTCTGGGGAGTGCAGAGAGGTAGGGTTCATTTAATTTTTTTAATCCCAAACAACCCAAAGCAATATAGGCCACTTTCTAGTTAATTTTCTGGAAGCTGCTCAATTTTCACTCCAAAGACAGACTAGGGCTCTTTCTTTCCAGTGAGCTGGAGAAGGGCTGGAGTTGGGGAGTGAAGAAAAGCAAAAGTTCTTAGCTTCCCAGTGTGATCGAGAAAAGCAGCGGACTAGCTGAGATCAGGGGGTCAGTGACCAGGAGGCTAGGGGTTGAATTAGGGATCGCACTCCTGCTGGACTCCACCGGGACACGCGGGTTGTAGAGTGCAGCGAGGGACCCGGACCTGGAGTTCTGGTTCCTACGGTGGGGAGGGACTCTTAAGAATGCCAGGTCCAGCTGAGTCTGGGATCCCTCGGATGTCTTTGGTTCTGCCGGGCCGGCAATGGGCGAGAGAGCCAGGAGCCGCGGCTTTCGCTCAGGGTCTGGTGGCGGGCTGGATTCCGAAGGCTCTAAGCGAGCAGAGGCTGCCAGCAGCCGCGTGTGGCAGACTGCGCTCGGTTGCTGAGTGCGCTAGACCCCCAGGAGTGAGGCGGGCGTGTGGACAGGAGTGCGCTGGGCTCCTGGGAGGACAGGACCGTTGGGTGGATCCAAACTACCGAGAGCATTTTACCAAATTTGAAACCTGAGGTCCTCTGGAGTCTTAAAGGATTTGACTTTGCTAAAAAGTGCTTTCATAGCTCTTGGGTGTCCTGGGTCCAGTCCTCCTGGATCATCCTGGTCGCAATCCCRATACAGCATTAAGATGTAGGCCCTACATGATCTGATCAATTTCTCTTAAATAGGAGGGGGGAAAGGATTCCACCAGTTGCTCTCCCTTGTACCCAGGGGCAGAGGGGTCCCTAGCCTCCTGGGCTTCTTCCTGCTGGCCTTGCTTCAGAGGGAATCAGGACTCTGATGGAGGCCAATGTTTGGGGGTCCTTTACTTAGGACCTCAGTGGGATGGAGGACCTTTCAGCTCCTAGCCAATCTCATATTTCGTTTTCCTGTCTTTCTGAAGTTGTGCAGTTGTGGGCTACCTAGGAGGCAGCAACTTGGAAGTCTGAAAGAGGGAACCCTTGCAGAGGCTCAGGAACGCCAGCAGGCACATTTTTTATCACAGTCCTGTCCTGCATTATGATCGGCTTCAGGCAGCAAAGATTGGGACCCTGGGTCCTGAAGGCCTTGCACTAAACCTTGCTTCTCCACCCTGCCCCACATCCATTAAGTTTAGGGGTTTGACTTGAGTCAGGATCAAGTTTCCAGAAAGCCTAGCAAAAGCTTAATTTAAAAGTCCAGTTCCATATTCCTTCCCTTAGAATAATGGACCCTTTTTCACCAAGAGCTCTTTAGGGATCCTACTACTTGGAGCTTTTTAGATGTCCTGAGGCATGTTGATTGAAGGGCCAGTTTTTGAAGAGAGAGACAAGTAGAAATGTGGAGGAAACACAGGTGAGCATGGAGAAAGTCAGAGCAGGAGATGGTGTATATATACTATGCCACAGGAACTTCCAGTCACTCTTCCTAAGTGTCCGACAGCCAGAGGACCTATTGTGTCTATCTCTTTTTGGATATGTTCACTGCGGATATGGAGGTTCCCCAAGCTTTGACTACCTGRAGAGGCTGAGGCTTGTCCATACAAACTCCTTTACCCAAATTTGGAATCAGTGAAGGCCAATAATGCTTTGATTGAATTTTCCTACCAGGTCTTCCCCTGCTCTTAAGTCTTGCTGCCCTGGAATCTCTTGGAAGGGGGTGATCTCAGTTTCCTTTGACTCCAAGGGGCCTCACTCTGGCCAGGATATCACCCCATATTGACAGTTTCTGAGATTCCAGACGCACAGACAAATTAATGTGGGCCTTTTGCTCCTACATTAACCTGTAGAMTAGGGTAAAATCCATCTTTGGGGCAAAGATCTGCTCCTCTCCTCCTCCTCCTGAACAAACCAAAATTATCAGGGCTGGAGGCTTAGGGATACACAGAAGAATCTCTTCCAACTATGCCTTTGTCCATGACCATCTTCCTAGGTCAAGGATCAAATTCTCACCCATCTCAAGAAAATCAGGCTGGCTTTACAAACCAAAGCTGGACAGGMTGAAAGTTACTCTGAAGAGATGCTGTACCAGTATGGTAAAGACCCATGGAGGTCAGGATCTGGTCCCAATCTCATGTGGAGAAGGGTCTGCAACAACTCTGGAAGGGAATGTGGGGTTGTGAGCTATGAATCTGGACCCATCCAAGTCACTATATACAAACACCTCCTCTTGTAGGAAACCCAGGCAAGGTGTTCCAGACAGGTGGCAGACAGGAGGATCAAGGCTGGGGTCAGCTGAAGGTAGCTTCTAGAAGCTAAGCAGTCAAGAGAGTACTGGTACCTTCCATAAGGCCTAGGCAGTGAAGGTAGAATTTTTCTTCACCAGTGCCTTTTAGATTTCAGATTCCATCTGAACCAGTTCTTTGACAGAGGCCTTGGAGTTGACAACTTCGGAGCTTGGTTTGTATGCCTGTGCAGCTCTCCAAAGTCTCATCCATCCTGAAACAAATATGTGATTAGAGTGTGCGACTGTGCGACTGTGCGGAATCCCAGAGAGTTCTGGGTTCCAGGAAAATAACTCCTGATCTCCTTCCCCAATGATCTACCTCTGGTCTTACTACTGAACTCCTCAGCCCAGGGCCTGGGGTCAGATTTAGGCATTCAGATGTTTCAGCTTGCTGGAGATAGTAAGTAATCCTGGCCCACCAGCACCAGGAAGTAGCTAATGCTGCCCGGGTTATCGCCCTGGCCACGAGCACGCTTGGGTGTGCAGGAGCTGCTCCACGCGCCGGGTCTTCCGCCTCTGAAAGCGATTCTGGCAGGAGGGGCAACTCTGTTAGCCTACAAAGCGCTCTGGAGCCTAAGCTGCGGGGCCSGCATCGCGGTACACAGAGCTCCTCCCCACCCCGCTCTGCCACCTTCCAGGGCACAAGCTGTGCCCTAGGAGCGCTTGAAGAAACGCGCGGTTCCAGCCGGTTCCCRTCTGCTGGGAGCTGTTTCCTGTAGCGCGCCAGGTGTGCCCCTGTGGTCCTAAAAACGCAGAAAGGGTCGTGTGGAACCGGAGAGCAGGGGACGCAGGTTTGGTAGAAGCCGGGCCCGGCGAGCGCAGCTGCCAAAGTTGGCTGCCCGGGTCAGCAAAACTTTGTCTCTCAGTGCGCAGGCGCAAGGCAGGGTTGGGGGGCAGGGGAGGGAGGGGAGGAATCCTGAGGCAAGGGGCGGGGGGGCTGGGGAGGAGGGAGGGTGGTGGATTAAAATAAGTAGGCGGCTCGGTGCTAAGGGATGAGTGAGTCGGAGCTCGGCCTCTCCCCAGAACGTTCCCAGCAGCTTCGGTTCAGAACCAGCGAGGGAACCAGGAGCGAGGCTCACGATCCCCCGGCAGGCAGGACTCCCGGGCTGCTGAGCGCTCCCGCGTGTGGGGCCCTCGGAGTCCCCGCGGCTGGAGAGGGGTCAGGACTCCAAAACACCAGGCGTGTCTGTGGGCTTCAGCTCCTGAGGCTTCCCGGGTCCCGCGCAGCGAGCCCCAGAGACGCGCTCCGCAGCAGGACCACCGCGGAACGAGGTAACCACAGCCCTGGGCTCTGGGGCTCAGCGACCCGAGTGAAGGCAGCACTCCAGGGTTCCTTGTCACAGCGCGGCGGTCCTGCTCCCTCTCCCCGCCTCTGTCTCTGTCTCTCTCTCTCCGTGTCTCTCCTTGTCGTGAAGGAAGCTCCTCTTGCCCAGCGAAAGCTGTAGAACCTTTGTGAAAGTGAGAGCGACAGCAGCCCAGGGTAGGGGGTGCTGACTCAGGGACTTTGCACGCAGGGTCCGGGGCCTCTGACCTCGGGAGAATAAGGGGGCGGGCCTCAGTCATCGCCCCCMATCGCGCTGGGCTACTCGGAATCCGGGTCAAGGTGCCCACGGACTTTGCAAGTCAGTCTGTGGGCCCGCTTTAAGAAACCGGAGCAAGTTCAGCAGGCACAAACTTTGGCAGACGCGATCCTAGCTCAGGCTGATCTGCCTTAGTTGATGAAAGGGAAGGAGAGAGTGGATAGCCATCGCCACAGTCCACAACTCCAGGGACAGGTGCACGTCCCAGCCTGGTCGCGCTTTAGTTTGACTTTTACCGAGTTCTGCTCAGGTTCCAGGCCKGCTAGACCCCGGTGCTCACTGCTGCATTTCTGAAGTCAGCTTCGCCCCGGAACTCTGACTTCGGAATACTCTCTRTACGGTAGATTTCTCCATGGGGTGAAGGCCTGGAKCGTMACCCCCGATTGCCCAGGTGCAGTTAGGCATGGACTTTCCCAGGCATGCGGGGCACAGGCTTTCTTCTCAGTTCGAGACCGCATGCCGCAGTAGCATAAACACTGTGGAGGTTCAAGTGTCTGGGGTTTGGGGATTGGTAGAAAAGAATTCTTATGCTCCCCTGACTGTCCCCTAATCCAGCTTTCTAGAGAGAAGTGGAAGCCTGAGGAGAGAGGGACRGAAGTGAGAAAATGCCTGCTGAACTAATTTGTCCCATGAAATGCCTCTAATAAGAATGAAAACCCTCATCCAGTCCTTTTTCAGCAGCCCAGGTAGTAGCAGAGTGGGTCTCCGGAGAACAAACCAGCTTCAAGAGTTTCTTTGTTGCAATAATTTCACAAATTTCACCCGGACTTATTGCTATACCTTGACTCTTAGGAACAGAACCACGTGCAAAGCTAGYCTCCCGGGTTCACAGCTTCCTAGGGGAGAGAAGGGCTGGCCGAGATGGGAAGCTACTGGTGTATAGATGGACCTTCCCAGGCTCCTGGAAGTAAAKGCAGTTTCATTAAGCCCCGAGAGCAGATAGATCCCCGAAGACGCAACGGGCATTTCAGTGCAGCAGGATGGACRCCTCACCAATAGTTTCGTTGGATCTTGTTCCTGGGGAGAATGTAACCGAAGTATCAGGTGTTGGTCAACCTCTCGTCGGGCGTCCGGACGCCTGTCACCATTCCTGTTGGGGATTCAATGTGGAGGATGATTATCTTGGGCTGCTGCTGGGCTCYTCCAGGCGCAAGCTCCTGTAGTTCGCTCCATCCTTATTAATGCAAGCAGTTAACTCGCTCACGCTCAATTAGCCCCGAATAAACCACTTTAATAGACTCTGCACACTTCATTAATGCCCTGCTTAGGGCTTGCGGCAGACCTGGAATTGGCGCTCCACCGCGCGAGGTACGCGAGTGCCTGAACTGAGCAGGGACCCGAGCGCGAATTGCCTTTACTGTGCTAGTCGAGACCTTTGCTACCGCTTCTCAAGGCCAGAGGCACGGACTCTTTGTGGAGCAAATGCCTGGCTTCGGGGAGAGGTGTTCGTTTCGCGTTAAAAGATCAAAAGCATTCGCACTGGGGTCTTGGGGTTAGGACAGGGAGAGCCAGAGAAGCCGGGTTTCCCGCTCCTCCTCTCTGGCTGGGGAAGCAAGGTTGATACTGTGTTTTTCTCGTAGCTGACAGCCTGAAACCAGATCATGCATCCCGCCCATTCTGGGTAGTAGTGTCAGGGAGCCACGTTTCGAACGAATTTCGTCCGCCGGAAAGTCATTGGCGGGAGCCTGGGGAGCCCTGGCCTCGGAATGCTGCTGCAGAAAATAAGAAACTGCCCTGGCCGCCGAGGAAAATAAATGGAGTGTTGGGGGAAATAAGATTGGGCAGATAGCCCGGAAAGGTTGGCTCCCAAGAGCCGTGGTGGCAGCATCCCCCCTCTCTGGCCCCCCACGGAGCCCCAAGACCGCTGGGTCTTTTTTGCTCCTTGAAGGGAGGTGAGGAAAGGCCAGGCGAGGTTGGTGGGGACTCCCACCTGAGCTCCAGGCCTGGGCCGGCGTGCAGCTCCAAGTCCTGCCGCTAAGGCCTCTTGGAGAGGAGCAAGCCCAGGCCTCCCGGTATCCCGGCGGGCTCCCGATGGCTGGAGACAAGGATCTGATTTCTAGTGCCTGGAGGGGAAGAAGAGGTGACAGCAAAATCAAAGAGCGCTCATCTTGCCTAAGTCTAGGCGACCTTTGAAGTTAGCAGTCTTCTCTTCCCACTTCCAATACAAGGGGTCCCAGCTTCTCCTTTAGCTCTGTTCGTATTTTGCTTCGTTCTTGTTTCAGAGCTTTGGGATGGACTAGGTTTTTAGGGCAGAACTGGCGACAGGAAGCAGTAGAGAAGACCCTTGCAGAAGCTCTACCATGGCCATTGCTGTTGCTTCTGAGGTCTCATTGCTGCAGATATGTGCCTCCTCTACCCTGCAGCTGAATTAATGGTAGTGATCAGACTTGGTTTTCATCCTATGGATAATTTAATTCGTGTAGGCAACTCTCTAGGGGCTCATGGGTTTTAGACACGACCTCTTTCCTTAGAGCCCACCACACAATCGTGACCCTCCTGTCAGCTTCTAGAGGAAAAGATTTTCTGAAGATTGTCCTCACACCTTCCAAGAACAGACAGTGCACATCCCTGCACAAGACCAGAATTTTAAAGCAAAAGGCTGGGACCTTGAACTGGGACTTGAGGGCTGGCCAGGCCTAGGAAGGCTGAGTGTGCTATGCCTTAGGGAGCAAGGTGGTGGCCTGCACCTCCCAGGTAAGGACTTTACTCTGGGTTAGAGGAGAGGTCCTAAGAAGAGAAGAAGTGAAAGGGTCCTGGTGACCTGGCTCTGATATTGATTTTTTTTTTTTTTTTTTTTTTTGGAGTAGCTCCCAGAAAGCTGGGAGCCAGGAGTTGAGCACCTGGGCTTCTCAAGTATCCCTGCTACTTTTTGGCTCCCCTCCCCCCACCAGGGGATAGAACCTAATTAGGAGTGTCTGTGAAGGGCAAGGATTAAAGGTTTCTTCCGATGCAAGTTGGAGACCCTGACAAAGGAGATCAGGAGATGACAGATCTTGGTCACTTGTGGTTTCTCTCTGGCGTTGCTCAAGCATCCTAACCTTCCAGTTGGAGAGTACAGAGTACAGACCACAGTAATGGAGCCTTACTTCAGTGTTCTTGCCCATATACATACCCACCTGCCCAGAGTTCTTTAWGTACATAAAATTTGTTAGCATCCAAAGATCCTGCTCCCTTTTCCTCTGAGGAAAAAAAAAAAAAAGACATTTGAGTCTCCTGGTATGTGACTGCAGATGTTTAACAGAATAAGTGAATGTGTGGGTCACAGCACCCTCTTTGAAATGAAGGCAACCCACCAAGCACTATAATAGGGACTCGGTCTGCAAGGAGTTGCCAAAAGATAGCTGCCCAAAGTATCACTAGTACTTGTAAGGTAGGGTAGCAAATTGTGGTTCAATAAAGGAAGGTAACACAGCTTTGGCTTCTGGAAACCAAATCAAAGATCAGTCAGACCTTCATATGCAGAAACTAGGAGATGTGTGCATTTGTCTTTATGTGGATACTTGCTGTTTGTGGAGGCTCTTCGTGGGTATGATGTGATTCCCTGTATGTGTTTGTATGTGTTATGGGCTCTGTGTTTTGTGACCAGTGTTGTCCTTTAAAATTGACTGTCCCAGTTTATTTGTGCACATTCTTGTCACATCTGCATTAGAACCTGTGGATCTGTGTTTATCTGTTAGTGTGCATTTTCATGTTTATCTGCACCTGAATGTGTAAGTCTGCTTCCAAATTCTGCTGTCTTTGCAGGCAGGGCCTGGCTTCCCTGGATGTAGGTTTTTACGTGCAGTTGCTCTGGGTTTGTGCCTTAGAGACGGTGTTCTGTATGCAGTTGGTCCTTATTTTAAATTAGTTGTATTGCAAAAGACTTAATTTCATACTAGTTTCTCTTATCAAGTGTGTGTCTCTGTCAAAGGCCATTTGGAGGGAGCCCTAACACCAGGAAGTCTTTCAAGGAGAGGGCTCTCCTGTACCTTACTTTCCCATTCTGTGTGAGGGTAATGGGGAGTGGGGGTGGGACCTTAAAACTCCCAGCTTCTACACTGTGAGTCAGAGAAAGTGTGTCTGGGCTGGTTTTCAGGAGGAAGGCAATCTACCCTGAACTTTTTTTTTCCTCCCCCCCCCCTTCTTTTTTCCTTTCTTTGCAGATCGAGATTGAGAACCACTGCAACTACCACAATGGGCAGCAAAACTTTGCCAGCCCCGGTGCCCATCCACCCATCCTTGCAGCTCACCAACTACTCTTTCCTCCAGGCAGTGAATGGCCTTCCCACAGTGCCCTCGGACCACCTGCCCAATCTGTATGGTTTCAGTGCTCTGCACGCWGTGCACCTGCACCAGTGGACGCTAGGTTACCCAGCCATGCATCTGCCCCGCTCCTCTTTCTCCAAAGTACCGGGTGCAGTATCCAGCCTGGTGGACGCGCGCTTCCAGCTGCCGGCCTTTCCTTGGTTCCCTCATGTCATCCAGCCCAAGCCAGAGATCACCGCTGGAGGCAGCGGTCCAGCGCTCAAGACCAAGCCTCGCTTTGATTTCGCCAACCTGGCCCTGGCCGCCACACAAGAAGATCCCACTAAGCTTGCCCGAGGGGAGGGCCCAGGCTCCCCCGCAGGTGGGCTAGGTGCCCTCCTGGATGTGACCAAGCTGTCCCCAGAAAAGAAGCCCACGAGGGGACGCCTGCCTTCCAAGACCAAGAAAGAATTCGTCTGCAAGTTTTGTGGCCGCCACTTCACAAAGTCCTATAACCTACTCATCCATGAGCGGACGCACACGGATGAGCGGCCCTACACCTGTGACATCTGCCACAAAGCCTTCCGGAGGCAAGACCACCTACGGGACCACAGGTGCGGCACTGGGGGAGGCCCTAGAGAGCTTGCTTAGGGTTTCACCTTCCTCCTCCCTACGGACCCCCTGCTGGCTTCAAGCCTATGGATCGGGAATTTCACAGAGGCAGGAAGGGTCAGGATTAGGTTTGGGAGCACCTGTGGAGGAAATGTGGGTATGAATAGGACCTAAAACTAGATTAGAGCTCCAGACTGGCAGTGTTGCTGCTGCCCCCCTTCTCCATCCCCAGAGTTGTCCAATAGTGAAGTTCCTGCAATGATGAACAAAACAACCGAACMGAACACTTGAAATGTGCAACTAGTGAGCCTGGGAAACTGTTTTTAGTTTTATTTAATTTTAATTATCAACCACATGTACCAGTGGGCAGTCTTGGAGAATGCAGCTCTAGGAATGGTCTGTTAACYAATTCCCTGATGGACCTCTAGGTGAATCAGGCCTTGTAAGGTTGCTGCCTGCCCTTCCTCCTCAGAAAGGCAGATGGTCTGTTTGCCTTGACCTGTTTAAGGAGCAAAGTTGCCCAGGTTCTCTGTCACCTCCTTGCTCTGTCCAGAGTCTGCATTATGCTAGTTGCATACTTGGYACCCCACACTCCTCCCCATCTATAATGCAAGTGCCTTATAAAGGGATCTTGGGACAACTGTTTACAATAACATTGCATCCTTTTGCAAGGATTAATTGTCGTTTCTGTCCTCAGATACATTCACTCCAAAGAGAAGCCTTTCAAATGTCAAGAATGTGGAAAGGGATTCTGCCAGTCCAGGACTCTCGCTGTCCACAAGACGCTACACTCACAGGTGAAGGAGCTCAAAACCTCCAAGATCAAATGCTAAACAGCCTCTGGACCACCAGGACCCTGGCCACGCTGCCCCCTCCTCTGGAGGAACCCGAAGCTGAAGGCGACTCTGGCGGGCAGCGGGAGGGGCGCTTGGGACTTCCCCCCACCCCAACAATGTCCCCTGGGTCCTCGGCACACGCGGCACTACAGAGTCCTGCCCGGGGCCATGACCCTGACCGCCCGGGCGGCTCCCCCAGGACGCGGCTTAACTTTGGGCCAAAAGGAGGTACTCACGTGGCGGAAGGGAAACTGCATTAAAAAAAGAACGAAAGCTCCGTGGAGACGCAGCGGCGCCTCTCCCAGAAGTATTACTTTTTCTATTGTTATTTTATACATTTTCTTGATTTTTTTTTCTTTGACCATATAAGCTTGTAACTCTTGACTGCGGATAGGAGAGAGGAAAAAAGTTCTGCGCGCCCGCAACTTCTCACTCTTCCTCCAGTCCCCATGCCCACCCTGGGAGCCTGCAAAAGTGTAATCGGTGTATCTGCTTCAGCCGCCCGGCCCCAGGGACCGCGGGGCCCGGAGCGCCGGCTCCCGCTGCTGCCTGCYGCGCAGCCGGCCGAGGGCTCCCGGACTCGATGGTGGGGCAGGGATCTCGCGCCCGGGGTCGGGAGGAGCCCGGCCGCGGTTCCCCTGCTCCACCGCCGCGTCACAGCGAGCGAGCAGCCGGCCAGGAGCCGGGCGTTGTATTGCGACTGGCACTTTATGCTGACCATCGGTAACGGACATTTATCACTGGAGTTGTTGTTTTTTTTTTTTTTTTTTTAACTATTAAATAAACGGTTATTTTACAGGCACTGCAGGACGGGTAATTTCCCTCTTGAACCGCAGGAAACCACTCCTTTCTATGAGAGGATCAGGTTTCTCTGCTTGACTTCAACCTGCCCTTCTTCCCTCCCCTCGTCGTCTTGGGGTGATGGGGCTGGGGATGGGGGGGGAGAAAACCCGTTTTTAGGGTGTTGGTCTACCTCTGCCCAACTTTACATTTTCTTACTATTCTCCGCTTCGGTGTCGGGGTCGCAGTCTCCACCCTTCACTTCCCGAGAGCGGCGAGTTTAAAAAGAACCCGAGTCTGAGGCCGCACATGGCCATGAGAAATCCCAGCATCTCCAAGTGCCAGGGTCGTTTGGTGTTCGCTGAAGGGACAGAATATCAACTTCCCCCTTCATCCCACCCCACCACCAACTAGTAACTTTCCTACTGGCCTCTGGCTTATGCTTTGGAGTGGAAAGACCTGCTTTCACAGAGCTTCAGATGAGTGCTGCGCCCAGTTTCTCTGGGTCCCAGCAGGCTGTCTCCCCAAAGTCACAAAACTACATCCTTCCCTCCTTCCCTTATTTATGATCATTCTCTCCCCGCCGCCCCTCCCCCAGCTACACAATGGGGTTTATACCCTGTTCGGATCGCGACTCCATACCAGCGAAGATATTCTGCAGTTTTAAAGCGGTCTGAGCAATAGGGAGGGCTGGCGGGCGCCCTTGGAGGCTGGGGATGTTTAGAAAGAGAAATCCGAGTCTCCCCCCTCAAGTCGAACCACCCCCCAGGACGTCTAGTGTTCCCACAACTAGAGGGAGGGTAGGTCACTCGGAGCTCTCTTGTTCAGAGGCGGGGCGGGGCGCCTGCTCGTACAGCGCCCTGACCGCGGGTGCACGCAGGCGGTGGCGCCCTCGGCCTTCCGCGAGGCAAGAGCTGCCTGATGGGCTTCAGCACTCACCGCTGCGCGGCGGAGACCACTGAGTTGCGCTTCCCTGCATCACTTCCCTCCAACAGGGCCCTGCGAACTGAGAAAAGGGCCTGGGCTGCAGGTGGTAAAGTGCTCCCGCCTTTCACCGCCGGCCCCCTCCCCACTTTCTTTGGGAACACTCCCAGGCCCTGTGCGGGATAGAACTCCCTAATCCGGGAACCTAAATTAGCAATGTGGTCTCTGCAAAACCGCACGGAATAGCCCTGCCTTTTTTGTTGTGATCCGCCCCGCCCCCTGCTGGACACGCCTGGAGGGGCGGCCCATGACTCCAGGCACCCAAAGTGTCCTGCCCGCAGCCTAAAGTAACTGCGGCAACCCCAGTCCTCTATTCACATAGGTGTAGCTCTCAAAACCTTCTCGATTGGTCCCAGGGCCGAGGGCAAGGGCGTTGCCAGGCCAGAACAGACCTGTGGGGTCTCCACTATTCACACAAGAGCTCAATCATTCTTACCAGGTCCACAAGGACTGTCCAAGGATGAACATTCCCTTCCTGAGACTTGGGACCTATTGTGCATGGAGGGAGGGTTAGCCTGCATGTTTTGGGCGTCCAGCTCCTGAGTCAACCAGCACAGGTTATGGGATGGTCTGTGCTTGGTTATGGCTTGAGATAGGGCCAACTGCATTGACCACAAAGTTTCTCTTATGCAGGGCCATGGTGGCTCCCAGASAAGTGAGTTGTTAAAGTATATACACACAGAGACACTAAGGACCACCGTGGGCACTTCTGAGGACATGGGAAAAGGGAGCCCTCTCTTGTGCCTCTTTTCTGGGATAGCATCTTATCCTGCATCCCCCTCCACCCTCAACACTCCTCTTCTCAGGGCCAAAGAGCCTCTGCAGCTAGCCAGGCCTCAGGACATCATAAATGCTTTGAAATGGGGAAATTTGCCCTGGGATGTTTTCCTTTCTGGCCCACTTCACCTCTAGCACTATGAAACCTGTCATATCCTGGGCCTTACTGTGGAGAAATTTCCAGTATCATATGCGCATCCTYGGAAGAAAAGGATTCCCAGGGCAGAAATTTTAGAGGGGTTGGGGAGTGGGGCAGGGTGCTAGCTAGAGATCCCTAGCCTACTCAGAAGTCCTCCTCTGCTTGCTCTACCTAAGGTTGCTATCATCCTCCACCATTTCTCAGAGTAGAYCCCTGCAGTGATTCATTGGCTGTGCAAATGCAGTTTAAAGGCAGGCTGTGGCTGGGGGGCCATCAGACACCTCAGAGGCTACAGTTCCCAGCTGATGTGGCTGGGGCAGTTTATCCCTGGTATTCCGTGTGAGTCCAAAAACCATGCAATACCTGTACTTTGGATAATAATGATCATCACATTCATTGCATTCCACTGTCATACATAAATTAAAACAAACAAACAAACAAACAAAAAATTCAATAGAGCAAGTTGGATTTTCTTGCCTGTGACAACTCTCCATGTTGTGCTCCTAGAAAGACCCCACTCCCCACTACAATAATCTTTTTGCATCCAAATGTCTGTCTGGGCGCCCAGAGGAGATGGGGTGGGTTTCAGGAGCAAAGAAGCTGGTAGAGCTGGCCAGCTGGGAATCAGCTGGGGCCCATCCTAAAGTTGGCCTGCGGTTTTAATGTGAAGGAGGCGGAGGAAATACACAGCCTTGAAGAATCATCTCCCCAAGGGACATTAGGAGGAGTGATAATCCCTGCGGGCAGCTTGGAGTTCTCTCTGTGAAGAGTCCAGGAGCGCCTTGGGTAAAGAACAAGTTTTGGTCCCTTCTTCCAGAATGTAGCTAGGGGTTCGAGGCGCCCTAAGGGAAGTTTTCCCAGGTACCCCCTTCATTGCTTACAGGGGGAAGGGAAAGACGTCCTGGTATGATCTGAGGATCATACTGAGGTCACCTCAGCTCCAAGGAGGTGGGACCTGTAATACCCTAAGCCTTTTTTATTATCTTGTTATCAGGCTCAAAGGCGTCTCCTTCCCAACTTCCAGGGCGCTGTTGGCTCTGTGACGTCACAGCCTCCTCCAGCAGGCACAGTGGCGTCCCACAAACCTCTGACTAGAGCGCAAGGGCACATTTCTACAGTGTAACCTATTTACGTAGCATTATGACGTCACATAAGTGTCCTTTCCGGGGTCGCGACATCCAGGCTTCCCAGTCCCGCCCCGAGAATCCTGCCYTCGTAAGAGCCACGAATCGTTTTGTCCCCACCAACAGGATCCGCGGACGTGAAACGCAGACAGGTGCCTTGAGTGAAGGTCGGTGGCCATCAACGCCCTCCGCTGAATCCAGTGATATAGAGTGGTCTCTACCAGCAACGAGTTTTGGCACCTGTTGAAGTCGCATAGCCGCCCCGCCCACCCGGGCCCCGCCCACCTGGGTCGGCCCCGCCCACCTTGGCCGGCCCTTGCTCGGGCCGACTCCCCGCCTACAGCGCAAGCTCCGCGCGCAGGCGCAGAAGGAACTCACTGGCCTGTTCGGTGGCTGCAGGAGGAGCTCGGGCTCTGCGGCGGTCCGGGGTAATCACCTTCGAATTCCACGTTCTGCTTTAGGGATCCCAAACTCCACGGAACACTGGTCCAATGCCTGCATCCAGCATCCAGACATTGGTCTCTGTGAGCGCCAGAGACGCAGACGGAGGGGGTCGATTTGCGTTAACGCGGGCTGGAAACCCTTGACTTGAGACAGTGGTATCTGCAGTCCCACGCAGCAGTAGTCCGAGGGAAGTCCTTGGGATCTGAGCCAGCAGGGAGAGGCGGGGTCTGCCTGTTAGGGTCGCTGAGACACAGGTCCTGCCCCCCCCCCCCCCCCCCCCCCCGCCCCACACAACATTGGTCTCCCACCTATTCGATCCGACTTTGTTTAGAACCAAACAGGCCCAATTTGCATCTATTTCAGATGAAAAATGCACGACAGACGTGAAATTCTTCGTTGGAATTCAAACTCAGTGGCAGAGAAAAAGTTAGGAGCTGTATTTTCTTCGAGTCTAGGGACCAGGAGACCGAGTTTTTCTTCAAACACAAAAGCTTTTGGGAATGTTCCCCAGTTTTCTTCCTGTAATAATGCTCTTCCTCATTCAGCTGATGTAGAGTCATACACATTCTGTCAATGTGTTCATTACTTGAAWCAAAAAGTGCGCTTTGATGTGTGGTAGAATATCGTAGGCATTTGTGAAATATCATGTAAATATATTATTAGAATGCTTCTCTCAGCATCCTGCAGTACCTGCCGCCTGTGCTGCCTTATAATCCAATCTTCCCCATCTTCACTGTCATAACTCAGGGATCCTGACAAGCGATGARAATGGGAGAAGGCCACCTGAACTGGTGGTCCTGAAACCTCTGGAAAAACTTTTCCAGTTTTGTGGGGACAAGTGGCTTAATCAATTTGCATATTATGTTTGGTTAGGAAGGGAGTGAAAGCCTATAAGAGMCATTACTCATTACTGGATTGCAACATATGTTCAGGGAGTAAAAACCAACCTCAGGCAGACTGAGGTGTGCGGCAGGGCAAGGGCCTAAGCACGCAAAATATCTGCTTATATAGGTATGTGCTCAAAGACACACCTGCAGAGTGAAACACCCTCTGTGAGTTTGCCTTTTTTTTTTTTTTTTTTTTTTGCCTTGTGCAAGAGCATGCTAGCTTAAGAACCCTATTACATGGTAGCATCTTTCAAAACATTCCTCTACACAGTCACCCTAGTCCTGCCATTCTTGGACAGTTTTCCGGGCCATTGCTAGTTCCAGTTCCAGCAATGAGGATAAAGGATTAACCGAGAAAAGTGATGTGAYGGATGTTGGTTTGAGTGTTTTTGTTTCTCTTTTCCAAACACTGAACTTGCTCTTAGCAGTTAGGCCATCTCTGGGGATGTATAAAGTTCAATTAATTCATTTTAAATGTTTGGTTTGATTGCTCTTTTACTAGGGAGATAAGATAAGRGCTTTTGTCATGATAAAAAGGGATGGATTGCTCTCTGTCATTGGAAGGAGTGGGCACCACTTGGAGCATGGTGACATGAAATGAGA